CCTCCTCAGGTAGGCTGCCAGGGCGGTGGGCGAGGAGCGGCTGGCACGGGCCCTCCCTGCCCCGGGCGCGCCGCTGCCGCTCTGCAGGGTCAGGCCCGGGCCGCCGGGGCGCTCGGTGGTGAGGACCAGCCTTCCCGCCTTGCCGCAGGGAAGTCCGGCATTTCGTCTGTTGGCCTTCCCTGGAGCACTGGCTTCCAGGGAACTTAGTTGTCCCTCCTCCCGTGCGGTAGGATGGCCAGTGGGCAGGTTTGCCCATGGGACAAACCTTTCCCCGCAGTTGCCCGCCTGCTCCGTGTCATGCCCTGACCCTGCTGGCCGTCCCTTCCTCTCCAGCGCCTGGGAGCCTGCGCCCTGCTCCACCCGTGAATGTGAAGGTTTAAGTTCAGACCCTCCCCGTCTTTCCCCGGAGCATATCCCCGTGATTCTCTAGGGGGCTCCCCCGGTCTCCCTCCCCAGGCCAGACCTGCGCCTGGTTCCCTTCCAAAATTGCAGCGTGGCCCGGCCCGGCGCCTCTGCCGTGGAGGGCGCTGAACTTGGACACGCAGGTGCCTGACTGCGCGAGTTAAATGCACTGTGTGCCAGGGCGCCGCAGCCTGGGGGTCTAAAATAGCCCGGCAGACAGTCTGTCATCAGAATGTCTGTGAAATGCCGAAGCTTCGTGGCCTCATTTGAAAAAATCACACAAAAAACCCACTAGCCTAAGATGGTTATATTTAAGTTGCTACCTAACAGCAGGTAAGCTGTCGCCTCCGCCCCTGTTTCCAGAGCCCCTTCCTAATGGATCGTGAATTGAAACTTCTATCTCGAGCTCTTTCTAAAGAAAGCATCTCGCTAATACTGTAATCATTCCGCAGCCTAACAACAGAGGAAGTCGTCCCATAACAAATACCCTGTTACTAATGGCAACATTGATTTCTGCAATCAGCCATTAGTCTAGAAAATGAAAGACAGTTTGAGGCACCTCGAGGCACCGCACTGCCCACAGTTACGGGGCTGGCAGCGCACGGGGGAGGGTCATTTTTTAAAAAAGTTTTTTCTTCTCTTTTTCCTCCCCCTTCTTGGGTTTCGATAAATATCTCCGTGTCGGAGGCAGTTCACTGCTGCAGTTATTAAGTAGACGCCAGTTTCATTCTGTTGTTATTGCCATGCTTCAGTATCCCCTTCTTCCAGGGCAAAATTAGTATGAAAATAAAGTGTGAGCCTGCTGGCTTATTACAGACCAGTAAAGAATTGTTAAGACACATAAATCTGAGCTGCACATTCCAGAGATTCCGATAGCACTTAATGCCGCTGCTTAAATACCCATGAAACACACTGTCTGCTCCGGAGTCCTAGACTCGCGTGTGATTTATTTCTGGTGAGAACTCTGGAGGAGGCTGAGCGGCGCGAGTGCCTGGGTGGGTGAGGCCGCGCTGCGGAGTGACCACGGCCTGGGACAGACGAGATGCGGGGCAGGGACTGCAAGTGTCACGGCCCTGCGGCAGAACTTGGTGGAAATGGGCCTGAGTGTGGAGGCAGCAGAGTGCCAGGTGTCCCCCTGTCACTAGGGACCATTTCTGGCCTCCGATGAAGAGATCCCCTGTTCTGGGGAGTGTAGTCTCACTGTCTGGGGATTGGGGACCTTTAAGGGACAGAGAGCAGAGTGCCAACCAGTTCTTCTAAGTTTGCGGTGTGAACGCGCCAGATTTCCATCCCTCTCTCAGACCTGCTGAGACGCACAGGGCTCAGCAGAACATTCCGGCACCAAATGTTCTGCTTTACTTGTGACGTCTCCTCTGTATTTCTCACCTTCTGGCTGAGTGATAGCCCCATGCTATTCCTATCTGTTGTTTCCGTGTCTCTAAATACTTTTGAAAAAACCCAGTCTGCCCAGAAGAACCCACCGGGCTTAGGACTCGAAGGGGAATTAATTATACTTGAGCCGCGTTATCTTCTTACTTTTATTTTTCCCTCGTTGAAATATTTCATAGTTGTGAAGACTGACTATTTCTAGTTGACTTCTTTGTTTTTTTTTCGTGTTCAAATGAGACCCTTCCTAATTTCTGGCTAAGTAGCAAAGCCCACAGGCCCACCAAACACACAGCCCAAGTCGGCCGCATGGTGGGGGCTTGGGTTAGCCTGGGGTTAGGACCCTGAACCAAATCTGGCTCCTCTTCCGTCTTACTTCCAACAAGTATGACTTGTACAAAGTGTGATTAAAATAAGCATTTAAATCAAACTCGTGACACAATAGGTGTTTTATTATTACCTGTTAGAAACCCGCAAGGTGAAGGGGAGAGAAAACATCTTTAAGCCCTAAGTAAAGAAAGAGGCACTTATTAAGGCCTCTATTAAGAAATGACGGCAGCCGCGGTTCCGCACGTTTCTCAGACTGCATAGCAATGTCGCAAAACTTAATTTCCATCACTCGATTCCTTTCTTGTTGAGAAGTGGGTCAGTAGGGCCTGAGAAACTATTTTTTCAGATCTTAACCAGTGAATTCTTCTTTATAAATCGCTGCTCTTAACATGATAGTAGTTCTGAATTCATCATAAAAACCCTTTTTGCAGAGAGCCTCTCAGAACAGACCTGCAGAAGAAGGCTCACAATGGGCGCAGAGCTTCCTTTGTTATCTGATGTAATTCTCTGCGAGGATTGGGACGGAATGGCTGTTTAAAATGTCTCGCTCAGACCGAGACGGAGAATGGGTCAAGTTTGCAATCAAACAGTTACCGCCGAGATGGGCGACTGTCACTGGCTAGGCTAATGTGGGGTGCAGCTGTTTGTTATGTGAGCAAAGAGAATGTTTGAATCAGTGAACATGTGAAAATGATCCCAGTGAACCAGAAAATATGTTTGTTCTCGGGCTCTCCAAACTGCTGAGAACCGAGCTCAGATCAACGGCGAAAGCCAGGACCTCTGACAAATGGAGAGGTTGTATTTTCTCACCGAGAGCGGACAAAATGAGGCGCAGAGACCTCCCTGCCATCTCTCCCCCTGGTTTTTGTTATTGTTTGTGTGACTTACTGATAATTTCACACCCCAGCCGATGTCCTTTCTGCCTCCATGTCCAAGGCAAAGGGAAGTGATCTGGAGGCAGTTGGAAGAGTGGGTGGCTGTTTGATGTCCCCTCGCTGCTGGCTCGCGTGCCAGCGCGCTGAGGGCTTCGGCCTCGGCATCTCTCCCTAAAACCTCAGCTGTGCCCGTGCTGGGATCTGAGCTTCACGTCAACTCAGAACACAACCCAACTTCTGCATCTTTAGATTTCGCTTTGGAAATCACGCTCAGAATAATTAAAACTTAATGTACTAAGAACCGATACTGCTCATTATATCCAACAGGGCAGTTACCTTCTGCAGGCCCCGGATTTTGGAGAGGGGCTAATTGAAGCGTTGATGGTGGGAAGGGGGTAATTGAATGCGTTGACCCTCTCTGTTCATTAAATAACGTCGGCTAAGTTCTGTGATCAATGGTAAGCCAGGGAGAGACGAAAAGATGAAAATGCCGTTAACCCTGTTGCTGCTAGTTAACATCGTGAGGTGGACAAGCATTGTTTGGTCAGCCGGGCTAGAGCCTGGCAGCCTCCTCCGTGTTGGCTGAGTGGCATTCCCGCATTCCTGGGTCCCACCCGGGCAGGCCCTTTGACCACGGCCTCAAAGGCCCGCTGCCGGTCCCCCTTGCTCGTACATGGACGGGACAGTGAGACGATGGATTTTCTTTCTTTTCCCCCTCTTTCTCATGGGCTCCTCCCCCTGCCCATTGCCTGTGCCACACAAACAAATCCAGGCTCCAAAGATGGGGGGTGGGGATAAAAAAATTTAAGTCTGAGGATTAAGATCTTCTTTTTTTTTTTTTTGCTTGTGCATTCCAATTGTTCTTAAAATATTTGGCAATGTCAATTAGTAACTGAGCAGAGTTAGCTGATGAACACAATTTTCCAGTAGACTGAGCACCCTATTGTTGCCGAGCGAGCAGCAGATTTCTGAGGTCATTATCATGCGCTGGTTGCTTGGCCCAGCTGCTTCCTGCAGCAAAAGCCAAACTTTCTGCTGGAGCTCGGGGATGGCGGCAGCAACAGGGGGCTGGGGAGCGGGGCTGGCTGCGCAGCCCAGACGCAGCCCTGAGCACAGGGCGAGGAGGCAGAAGTCTCCAGGCCCTCCAGGGAAGCTGCCCTCCCGGCTTCTCTCTCGGAGGCCTCTCTCTCCAAGCACCTGCACCTCCCCCCTGGGGATTAAAGGACCAGGGACTCCCCCTCCCCGGGGCATGGTGGCAACTAATCTCGGTGCTGAGCAGATCTTTGGAAAACAATAATCCCATTTACAAATGTACTTAAAATTTTTTAACCAAATCTAAGGCCAGTGATAGACTTCTTTATTTTTATTAAAAACAGAAAAGAAAAAACCCCACGTCATTTATTCAAAGATAAAATTAGTAACGTGGAATTAGTAAATTGGGGATGACTAACAGGGAACATTATTTCATTTTCCAGAGGGACCTTCTGAGCAGAAAATAGTCTGAAATTCCTCATGAAACCCCATGTGGTGTGGAAGGCTCCCTGCCCACCCGGCTCCCTTTCCTGCGTCCTGTCGCCCCCCGGCCCCAGATCTGGGAGCCGGTTCAGTGAGATGAAAAGCTGCAGT